GGGTCTCCCTGTGTAACTCTGGCTGGCCTGAGACACTATGTAGAGACCATGCTGGTCCTCCTGCCTTTCCCTCCCAAGTGCTGGGATTAAAGGTGTGCACACCACATCTGCCTACTGTGATTTTTATAGACTCATCACACACACACACACACACACACACACACAGGTGTGCTGCTTTCGCCTAGTGAGACAAGTTCTGTTACCCCATCCTAGAGATGAAAATGACAAGGCAGGTGTGTGGGGTCAGATAATCTGACAACCCACATCAAGTTCTTCTTAGGCCCTGTGGGCCTGGACTTGGGGAGCGGGCACACCAGCTCCCAGGGAGGCCCTGGGATTCTCCATACCCACATGCACCACTTCCTGGATTTCCTGGCAAGTGCTGCAGAAGTGTGGGTGGAAGTCCTGTGGTCACAGCCCTCAGGTGGCAGGCTCTGCTGAGATGGGGCCCAGATGTCTTTTTCTGGACAGCCCCAGTGCTGCTTCCGACTCGGGGGCTGCTTCTCGGGAAGTCTCTCGGTTCTGTGGCCGGCCACCTCGAGTACTGGAACCTGACAATAGGTGCTGGCTGCAGCAGCCGCCTGCAGCGCTTTGGGCCTCCTACCTGTCCTGCTGAGCACTAGAAGGTGCAGAGATAAGAGGAGCTAGGAAGTGGCAAGGTCCTTGCTGGGCCTGGCAGTGGGGCTTGTTTGCGGAGCAGGGGTGCTGGGTCTTACGTAAGGAAACCTGGACTAAGCCCGTGCAGAAAGGGTAAGTTAGGATGAGAGTCAAAGAGCCAATTTTACCTGGGAGTGGTGGGGCGCAGAGAGAAAAGGACTTAGGTGGATGTTTGAAGTGTGGTCCTTGCTTGGTAGAGTGGGCGGGGCAAGGGGCGGGGCCGTGTGGATTTAAAGAGGAATGGTCTCCTACTAGCATTGGAGGGAAGGTCTGTGCTGAAATGTACCTCTGAAGCCCGTGTCTCCTACTAGACTACGAGTTCACGCCAAACTGGGGACTCGGTGACTTTGGCGATACCACAGCACATCCTTTCAAGAAGTGTTCTTCTGGGTATTGCAACCCCAGTGGCACAGAGCTGTGGAGCCTCTAAGAGCGGAGCCACAAGTCCAGCACCCATGGAGAGCCATGGTGGAACCCAGAAGCAGTGTTGAAAGGTGCTTGACGCCTGGGCTCTGGGCCAGGGCTTGCCGGAGGTGATGGGAGCTGTTGCAGGCTCCATAGGCATAGTCTGGGGGAGTGGGGGAGCCTCTCTGAAGGGGATGGAGGGGGGCACAGCAGAATCCCCAAGTGGAGGGCCTTAAGGGGATGGGTAAGGTGTCGTGCTCCATTTAAGGACCTAAGGGTGGGGGACTTGGGCGCTCATCCCACTCTCAAACCTCTCCTCAGAAGCCCATCCCTCCCAGGGATGTCTCTCCTTTGAGAGTGGAAGAAGCAACCAAGAATAGAAGCAACCAAGAATAAGGTCTCCAGGCCAGGCTTTGCCCTGCCCTCAGAGCTGCCCCTGCTCCTCATCTTGGCAGTGGTCTTGTTCTCTTCAAGAGAAAAGCCCACGCCCATCCCTGTCCCAGCTTGCCTTTTGGAGACCACAGCACCTCCAACACACTGGCCCTCTCCCGGCACCCTGGAAGGACTGGATAGCTAGGAACACTGGGCAGACACCTCTGCCGCAGCCCTCAAGCTGAGGTTAGTAGGGACAGCCCTGCCAGGAGGGAAGGTGGCCTCCAAACCCTCCCCTTCACTCCTCCCTGGTTTTCCAGAACTTGAGGGCCTGGCTTCACAGCCCCCGTCTTGCCTCCTGGATGAGCTGAAAGTTCTGGAGGAACTGATTTTGCTGCTGGACTCTGAGCTTGGGCCTGGCAGGACACCTGGCTGCAAGATACGGGGTGCCTGCCACTTGGTCTACCTTTGCCTCCTCACTGAGAGCCCCGATTGAGATGGTGGGGGACAGCTTGGCACACACCTGGCCCAGCTAGGGAGGGCGGATGCCCAGCAGGTGCTACCCAAGCTTGGCTAAGTCAGGGTTTGCTGGGGCTTACTACTCCATCAATAAAATTTCCCTAGAAGCCAATGGCTGCTGTCCTCATTAAAGGGGTCTTCTTGAATATAATCCTGATGGAGTCCCAAGCCAACAGCCATCCTTTTTTCCTATGGAAGGTCCGTTCCAGTATGAACAGGACCGTATTACCCAGCCACTCAACTTGTGCAAGAAGGTGGAAACTAGCACACTCGCTGACGTCTCCACAGACCCCAGACCCCGATTTTGAGGCTGCAGCCCACACAGTCCAAGCTGGCCTTGAACCCCACATGACTTTGGATTCCTAGAATCTAGGACCTAGACCCTCTTGCTTTTACTTACCAAGTGCACATCTCTTTGCCAGTTGATATGGTACTGTGTGGCTCTCATACATGATATGCAAGCATCAACAAAGCTGTATTTCTAGCCTTGCCCCTCTAATCTGGACTGGTGGCCTCACTAGCTACTGTGGCTTCCTTGGTTACAACGTGTCAAGTGGGAGCTTCCACCTGTCTCCAGCACCATACAAAAGAAGACAGCAGGGTGGCAAGATGGCTCAGTGGATAAATCGGCTTACCACAAAAGCCTGTGGTCCTCTATGGGCATGAATATGCACATGCACGCACGCACGCACGCACGCACGCACGCACGCACGCACGCAC